TGGAAGCAATGATTGTAATAGCGATGTAAAGAAATGTGTAAATTGTGTACGTGCAAATCAACAACTAAATTTAAATTTAGATAGCAACCACCACGCCACCGATAGAAATTGTAAGTGTTATTTAAGAATTGTTCAATCCATTCAACGAAAAACTATTTATAATGAAAATGATAAGCAATTACAGCTCATTAAGAAAAATATTTTTATAGTATGTTTTAATGCTCAAAGTTATTATAGTCACAAAGATGAAATATTAAATTATGTTAACATTTATAGGCCTATGCTTTTAAGTTTAACAGAAACGCATATCACTAGCGACTGAAAATTCCGAATTGGCAATTGAGGGTTATAACTTAATGCGCTGTGATTCAAACAGTAGGCACACAGGAGGTGTTCTTGTTTTTACAAGGAAATGTTTTAAAGTATTTAATGTTGAAACAGTTGTTATAAATATGAATTTTTGGCTTCCAGCTCTAAATGTAAAAATTCATAATACAACATATTGTGTTGCGGTTGTGTATAGATCACCTAACGGTAACCTGAGTATTTTTCTTGAAACATTTTTGAACTGGATGGATAATTATTATGAACAAAATAGTAGTTGTGGCGTAATCATTACAGGATATTTTAATATTCACTATGATAAAAATTGCCAAGGGAAAAAAAGATTACAAGAATGTATTGAAAATAACGGCATGAGACAATTAGTAACTGAATATACTAGAATATTAAAAGATTCTAAATCGATCATCGATCTTGTCTTCACTAATGATTACACCATAACTGCTGATGTTGGTAAGGATTGCATCATTTCTGATCATTCTATTGTATACATTAAAAGAAGGGAAAAGCATACTGACTTTAAAAATACTAGAGGTAAATTAGATTACGATAAAATGGTCAATATGTTGATTGAAAAAGACTGGGGATATTTATTTACTAACGTAAATATTGTTAGTGATATATTTATGAATAACATATTATCTGTAATGAATGTTGTGTCTAAACCAAGTATTGTAAAGAAAACTAATTGTGTTAATCAATGGTTTGATAATAATTGTTGAAGCTATTTTGGTTAAGAATAGAGCTTACAAAAAATTTGTTTTCACGAATCAGGTGGAGGATTGGAATAACTATAAGGAAACCAGAAATTCATCGGTTAGAATTTTAAGGGAAGCTAAAATAAAATACTATGAGAAATCAATTGATGACAATAGAGGAAATCCGAAATTAATGTGGAAAAGTCTTAAAAAAATAGTAGGAACTAAAAATACAGAAATAATATCAGAAACCTTACATTGTAATGGAATAATTTATAGTAATAATCTGCCAAATATTTTAAATCAGCATTATATAACAAGTATAAATGACCTAGTGGTAAATATAGGAATAACTGGAATATGTGATGACCTCCTGCTTGATTCAATTCCAATAAATGCTGTAATAATGACAAACTTTCAGATGATTAATATTCAACAACTTTATGAAATAATTAATTTCCAAAAGAAAAACAAAAATAGTACAGATGAAATTGGTATTGATTTAATTAGGCATCTTTATCACGTTCTGGGTTATCCTTTATTAAATTTGAATAATTTAAGTTTGAAAAAAGGAACTTTTACTCAATGTTTTAAAACATCCACCATAGTTCCTATTCATAAGGTGATAAATACAAATAGAGTTGATCAACTGAGACTTATAAATATGTTGCCATTCTGTGAAAAGCTACTTGAACTGGTGTATAAACAAATTGTGAAGTTTTTAAATGATAATAATATATTATGCAGTTATCAATCAGGTTTCAGAAACTCGCATTCTTGTGAAACGGCTTTGCAGTTAGTTGTGTCTGACATGAAAAATATATTAGATAAACCAGGAATTGGCATTTGCGCAGTTTTTATAGACCTTCGAAGAGCTTTTGAAACTATAGATCGCAGAATTCTTTTATTAAAATGGTATAATAAGTATTTAGGTTTAAATTTCGACAGATTGTAATGTCTCTCTCTATTAAACATGTAACGTGTTGAGTTCGCACATAAGAATCCCTGTGCTAGTGTAATGTTTGCACAGGGTTGGATAATTTTCTGTCTCAATCTATCGAGATTTGTTGCTCTTTCAAAAGCATGTCCAAATCCACACAAAAAAAATAATTCGGCGATAAATCTGGTGATCTTGGAGGCCACTTGATCGAACCATGGTTATGGCTGGAAGTATTCTAAATACTCACCAACAGAGTAAAAAAAATAACTTAATAGTATTTTTTTTAAGTTTTTTGATTTTATTTCTGGTAGTAGTTTATCAAGATTATAATCCAGAATTTTTTTGGGACTTAGTTAAGCAAAAACGGCTTGTTCTGATATATTTAATTGTTTTTGCTAAATTTCCACTATTAATCAATGTTTGCAATTCAGCTTTAACTTTATTATAATAGTTACCAATAATAATTCATCATCAACATACTTGATCACTTATCGGTCATCCATCATTGCAGCATCTTTAGCATGTACCTACCTTTATTCTGTGACTGTATCATGTGATATTATTATTGTTTTACCTCTTCTTGTTTTGATTAGTTTAGTTAAATTTAACTATTTTTTTAAAGGGTTTTAAATGCAATCAACTAAATTACTTACCAATAATGATGATCATTATGCTTGAAATAATACATGTAGCAACCCATAGATTCATCTTGTTCATACTTTTCCTCTCGTAGGTATGCCTGTTGAATATCAATAAGCTCCCCACTATATTCGACAACAAATTCTCCTTTACAAAAATCCCTAGTCGCAAAAACTCCCCTTCCTTTTTCTTTACTATATCTGACCTAAAATATGATAATTTGCTCACCTGGCAGATTACCTAAACCTAAATAAAGGACCATTCCAAGAAATTTTCGATTTAAAATTTGGATGTCTAGTTAAAGTCCTTTTCAATTTTTGTAGCAGCATAAGATAAATATATATATATACATACACTCACAATTTTATAAATATTTAGGTATAGCAAATTTTAAAAATACAAAGTAGGTAACAATACAAAATTTTGAAACAAATAAATTTAAAAAACAAAAATTAATGATAATATAAAAAAGTATTTAATAAACATTGTAAATAGGACTATGGTTAAATTAAAAAAATACTGTCTTTATACTAATTTTTAAATATTAATACCATTCTTAATTAAACATTTCACAGCATTAGTGACTTGTATTTATAAATTTTAATCAAAACGAGTTGGACTCAAACTAGACATTGTTTACAATTTACAATGTGTACCTCTAAACCATCTTCAACTCCCTTCTTTAAGGCATATTCAATAAGGCGTTTTTTTTCTTCTAAAACTTCCTTTTTAGTTCTTCTGTCTGACTTTCTTACACAATAATATTCCGTTAGTTTGTGGCTCTGTTCTGAGAGGGAGGGAGGTTTTTTCTTGGTCGAATTTTTTTTTATAATTGCTAGAAATATAATAAGAATTAGCTAATTTCTCTAATTTGTCAAAGGTGATACAAATAAAAGGATATTGTGTCTATACACTTTGGGAAGCCATTAAGAAATTGATATATATTAAATATCTCTTCACATTTATTAATTACTTTTTTAAACCGAAATATGAAGCTCACCTCGTACCATCCTTTATGTAATAAAAAAGTTATTATCACTAAGAATGCATATTATAGGTCTATTAAGTAGGCGCCTTAATAATTTATTTATTTTTAGACTGATTTCAGTCCGTTTAGTACTACATAGAATAAAATTATAATTTTGTTAAAAGAATGTTGAAAAAATTGTTTTTGTTTACGTTTACTGTAAACCGATTTGACAAATGACATAATCTTAATAATGTTGGTAGTACTATATTTTCAGTAATTCAGTATCACCAACATTAGTAAAAAATGTTTCCTAGATTTTTTATTTGTAGTAGAAATTAGAGGTCTGTTCTGGTTTTGAGAAATAACGATCCACAACTGTCGGGCTCATGCGCAGTAGATAAAAAGTGTTCTGGTTTTTCTGGGACTACTTCGGATCTCTCAGTCCAGTGTTCTGGTTTCGTATCCGAAATAATCCGTGATTGTTGTAAACAGTCAAAAAGTGTTCATGCTTGGGAGTGTGGATCGACTCGGACTGTTTTGACCGCGCATGCGTTTTTGAAGTGTTATCAATATCATAAACATAAACAAAACATGAACGAATAGACCGCATTATCGAAGATAGAACAGAAGTAAAAGTTGGAAATGCTTTTGCCAGTTCTCCCACTTTATACACATAAATTGACAGGTTGGCACCGGATCTCACCGAAGTGGACGCGATACATTGGCGTACAAAATTATTTTATAGATTTTAATAACAATTTCGAGTAAATAGTTTAATAAATTGTGAATAGCTGTTGAAATTTTGTAAAATTATAATTTGAATATTATAATACATGTTTAATAATTATTTATAATCCATAAATACATGCGATTGTCCGGTTCCGCCGATAACAATTTAAAATTACTTATTCTATGAAACGACACTGGCAGGTAAACATTACTGTGAAATTCTCGGAGCCGCCCGACGTGGTTTGACGTTTACCCCCTCTCTACCTACCAAAAGACTTTTCAACTTTTACTTTCTCTATACAATTGCTGCGTTTGAGAATCCACATCGGATGCATCTGAGATGTAAAAAATCTTTGATCACGTGATTCAGTATACGTAAATGTAATGGGACAGATGTGTCCGATGTGGATAAAAAAAACGCTCGAGATGTAAAAAATGCATCCGATGTGGATTCTCAAACGCAGCAAAAAGTGTGTTAAAAAAATAAAAAATCCCTAGGAACTTCACTTTATCTTTGTGTTTTGTTGTCAGTTGTCAAATATTGTTTTGTGACATTCGAGAAAAAGGAAGAAGGAAGTAACGAAAACGAAGACGAGGAAAGAATGTTCTGTCTGTGTAGTGTTATGAATATGGTGTTTTTATATATTTATTAATGTTTTGATTAAAATTTATCAAAAACATGCAGGACCAGAGCGAAAATGGTAAGTTGCTAACTTATTTTAAATGAAAAAACTTAAATGTCCCAAATATCTTGGAAAGTAATTGCTTTTTTTATCAATTTTAATAACACCCATTTATCGAAACTACAATCTATAATGCGTGGGTGACAATAGAATTGTCAAAGAAAACAAGAAAATATGTTTTCAGTTTTTGTTAAAAATCCCTTTTATTTTATTCAAAAAAGATTTTTTCACAGGCTATCGTTTCTGTTCAGTATAAATTTTGTTTTGGTTGTAGCACAACTTGTTTGGCCTTCAATTTGTAAATAAAAATCAATTTTCATTAATCCTAGCAATGTCGCAGCATTATTAAATTTGTATTAGTAAAGTAATATAATTTAAATACCTAAACATCGTGCTCCAATAACATATTGTAACTGTTCACTTTATATGGGTTTTAATTAGGAGTCCTGACTTAAAAATTATAATATCTACTTAAAATATAATTAGATTTAACATAGATAAAATACCCCAAAGAATAATGAGATTGGAAGAAAATGGCTAGACTATAAATTACAAAGAATCTAACAATCTGACTTATGAAAACTTTTTTAATAAAAGACCTAACAGACTATAAAAAAACTTATAAAGTCTAGAATAGTACTTATCACCAATCTTGGATATGGTCGCCTGAGGCCCACCACGAAATGCTGTACATATGGTCACTCTAAATAAAAGACTCGTTTAATCTCGGGAGGAGCTATGTAAAAGATAACAATCATTGATACTATTAAAGGGAATATATATCTTTAGGTCATCAGCAAAAAATAGAAAATTACTATATTGGAAAATATCTTTCATATAATTGATATATAGTAAGGACAATAATTGTCCCAAATGGGAACCTTGTGAAACCCCTGAGGGTATGTCATATTGGATGGACACCATTTATCTTCACCATTTGAATTCTGTTTTTCATATAGCTTTCAAGCCAAGTCAGAAAAGTATCAGAAATGACAAGCTTTTTTAATTTAAACAGCAATAGAGTGAGATTAACACAATCAAAAACTTTACTCACTATATATTGTGTCAACTTGCATATTTTCATAAAATTTAAAGATAATAGTTTGTTGATAGACCGTCAGATTGCTATCTGTAGATCTACCCACAGTAAAAGCATGTTTCATGGAAAGTGGCAGAGATATAATACATGAAATTATTAATTCTGCACTCCTTACTTTTGACTCCTTGTAATGACTCATCCTGTAGAGTTGCATACTTGGGCTCCATAAGAAAGTTTCATTTAAATACCTGAAAAATAACATACTTTTTGAACAAATTCTGACAGTACCCAAAATCAGTACAAAAAGTGTGGGCTCCTTCCGACATTACAGTCTAGAGAAATCATGTATAGTACAAATTAGAGAACAACATTATAAACAAGTATTCAAAACATTTTCTTCTATATTAATAAATAACAGAAATATACCTTAAATTTTAAAAATTGTCCACTAAATTATCCCCACAATGCCCAAAATGTAATCAGCTCACTGCAGAATGAATTAAAGTTTCAGTTTAAAATTTGGTGATTTTATCTTTATCCGTTTTTAAGTTATTGTGGATACAGTTACTCAAAAACTGTTCAATAGCCAAATTCGCAAAGCATCATTTAATTTACGTACTATGCACTGGATATTAAACTGCAGATTATTATTTTTTTTAGAACCTGAGAACAGCAGTGTTCCACCTTCAGAGATTATTTGTGCAGGCTGTTTAAATGTCATTGATGAGGAAGAATTTGTTTCAGCTCTTAGCCAAGAATGGCATATGGAGTGTTTCAGGTTAGATTGTCATTTTTTTTAAAACTTTCAGATATTTAAAAAATTTATTAAACAATGACTTTCTATTTGAAAAAAAATATAATTTAGTTCAATACGCTGTAATTGTGTAATTATTAATGATGATATAATTTGTGTTCCACTCACAATGACAGTAGACTTATAAAAAAAGGTTCTAGGTATTCATTGCAATTTTATTTATATTTTTTCAAGATTGTATTCATTACAAATTATTTGGTTACGTATTTAAATTATGTATCTACAATAATTAAAAAAAAGTAACAAATACGTAAAAATGGTTTGTTTTTTTTTTAAGTTAACTGTCAGTGGAACTCAAATTATTTCACACTAATATGGCATATTTTGATCATATCTACTTATTATATACAGTATGCCCCCCTAAGTTGGAATCATATGGAAAACTTTTTTATTAATTTTAGGAAAAAAAAGTTATTCTCCAAAAATGTTCTGCATTATCTAAATCCTAGAATACAGTCATCAAATATCAAATTTTTTCAGTGGTATAGGAGGTTTGTCAAAAAATATGAGTTTTATTTAAGAGTAAAGTACCTTTAAATTTGACAATATCGAAAAATGTTACTAAAAAAAGTTGATCAGAATTAAAAATTACGTTTAAATATGGATGTACTTGCATATTTAAACTTAATTTTTAATTCTGATTAACTTTTTTTAGTAACACTTTTCGATATTGTCAAATTTAAAAGTACTTTACTCTTGAGTAAAACTCATATTTTTTGACAAACCTCGTATACCACTGAAAAAAATTGATATTTGAAGACTGTATTCTAGGGTTTAGATAATGCAGAACTTTTTATGAATAACTTTTTTCCTAAAATTAATAATAAAAAAGTTTTCCATATGATTCCAACTTAGGGGGACATACTGTATATAAAAGCATATAAAAAATATAGTACCTAATAATTAAAATTCACCAAATACTTATTTTCTGACTTGTATTTTGATACTTTCGTTCAAAATAACATTTTTTAATAGAATAATATTTTTTAAATAGGTGTTCAGCATGTGATGCTGCTTTATCGAATTGGTATTTCGAAAAGGATGGTTTACTTTTTTGTAAAGATGACTACTGGTCAAGATATGGTGAAGCATGCCAACAATGTAGTCAGGTAAGTTCTATTTTATAAGTAAAAAATGTATGATTAAAATAATATTATCCAACTCTCTCTTTACCATGCATTGAAAATTCATTTTTTTTAGATCATTACAGGACCAGTGATGGTTGCAGGAGAACATAAATTTCACCCAGAATGTTTTTGTTGCGGTTCCTGCAGTGCATTTATTGGAGATGGGGACTCATATGCACTTGTCGAGAGATCCAAACTCTACTGGTAACTTTATACATTTAATTTATAGATGTAGATATATTTATAAAATACTAAAGTTATAAACTGAGATTGTTAGTATAACAACAAAAGCAGAATATTCTATGGACTGATTACAAAATTATTTTTTTTATATTATATTTATTTTAGTATTTTAAGTAAATTTAATAGTGTCTTCTTAATTTGTTTATTTGATTGAACTAAAAGTGAAGAAATATTGAGTGGAAGCAGAATGAATAGCTATTTGTGTATTAAGATTTAAAAATGATATTGTGCTTTGTTAATTGTACTAAGGAGTTTTAACAAAAATAAAATGTGTAACTATGCCTAAATGCACAGAATCAGTAAGATCATGCTAAGGGGACCAAACCCACACATGGCTACTGAGGCACTACAACTTGCAAGGCCTCAGATATCCACCATTGTGGGATTACTAACTGGGTACTGCTTGCTGAAACACCTTCATGTAATGGGATTACATAATGATTCCACTACATGTAGACTCTGCATGGAAGACGAAGGAACCTCATACCATGTGATCTTCAAATGCGAAGCTCTTACAATTCGACGTTTCGTCTTTTTCGGCCTAGAACCGGAAAGAACGCCCCAGGAACACTTGGTAGGGAACATATTAAATCTAACCAAAGACACAGGACAATTCCAAACATAGTACTTGAATACGGGGAAAGCAGGGGAATACAATAGACCTAAGAGGCCCCAGAGTTCTGGGCCAAACCTAACCCTACCTGCTTATAACTGACAAAGATAAAGATGCCTAAATGCACATGTCAGTCTAAGCGGGCCCTGCTTTTAATCATGTACAAAAACCGATTCATGAACGATCCAAATTTAGTTGAATCATTGACGAAAAACTACTAGACTAATCCATACATTTATAACCTGCAAATATTCAGCTCGTGTTTTATGTTTGGCAGACAAAGCTGTCGCCTCGGTTGCAGCATTAGGAAGAGCGAGGCGCCTACTAAATTAAGTGAGGAATGCGTTTTACTAACGAATCGGCTAGTAAAACTAAGGTGACTGCTTTACACTGGTGCCACACTGAAAAATAAATGGTGTACTTTCTTATAAATCAATAGTCGCCACCAGAAAAAGACATTAAACTGATAATAAGTGACATTAATAATGTTAATATACTTCCTTAATGTAATTTTGAAAGGCTTTTGTGAATTTTAGAGCCTTATGTTAAGTAAATCCTGACTTATAACCATACAAAACCTAGTATGTGTCGCGTTAGACATGTGATAGCTGATTTTTCCTATGCAGTTCTAAAATCCATTTCATAATCTATCTTTCAAACAAAATATGAAGTAATCCATAAAAAAATGTGTCTAAAATAGGCCTTGGAAGAATTCACGCATGTTGGAGTTAAAATTCTTCTTTTTATGTGTCGGTTTGGATTTATTCTTGAACTGTGTATAGTTATCATGAACATGATTCGTTTCTCTGCCTTTATATGAGGCTGAAGCTAGCAGACAAACTAGCAGACAAACCGCGCAGCGGTCCTTTAATGTTTTGCTATTATTCGAAAAAAATTTTGGTTTAGGTGGACTTTAAAAACTATATTTAGATATCTTGCTATTTAATAAATTTTTATTCATTTTATAGCTAGTGGTGTACTAAATTATTGGTATAAAAATTGTCTTTGTAATCTCGTGCTAAATGTGTTTTTTTGGTCTCTGTTCTCATAGTCGTTTGACGACAAAACACCTGACTTTAAAAAGACCAAAAAAATATATATTAAATCATTGCTCGGCTAAATTTTGTTGTTGAATCAATTAACAAAAACCTAATGAATATTTGGTAAAAAATTATATTTATAATCGCATTGTAAATGTGTTTGTTTCGTCCCCGTCTTTGTGTAAGATTATCTTATTTTAACTAATAATTCAAATTGAATTAATCCTTTTTTTTTTCAATAAATACACTAATTTTTATTTATTTCTAAACTTTCACGATACTAAAGTTAACCTAAACCAAAAATTTTAGCCGAATAACAATATCAAAACATTAAGGGACCGCCGCGCGGTTTGTCTGCTAGCTTCAGCCTCATGTCTTTATCAGTTATTGCTTTCTTTAGAAACATTTTTTGTGGATCACTCTTTACATATTTTTAGTCTCATACAATTCATCTGAATTTTGGATAGTATACATTTGTCACCTGCAAATTGACTGAGTTCAATAATATCCATCAAATCATGAACTTTCTCTGTATAGATATTAAGTGGGCTTAAAACTGATGATTTCTCTACCGAAACATGCAAAGTTGTATATAATGCATTCGTACGATCTAAAATAGAATATGCCTGTATAATTTGGTCATCCAAAACAATCCTTTATAATGATACCTTGGAAAAAGTGCAGAAGCGTTTTGTCAGAACTCTACACATGAATAAATATGGAGAGTATAGCTTAGGTATCTCTTACCAGAGCGTTAATATATTTTAATATTGAAATACTATTTAGCAGAAGGAACAAAGCCCAATTAACATTTATAACAAATATATATGGAAATTTTAATTTACCCTCCATCAATTTCAGCTTACCAGATATTCGCCTTAGGCAAAGATACACATTAGTTTCCAACAATAATTTAGTCTCACCTATTCGCTAAATGCGCGACAGCAGCGCTAATTCGTTTTGGTACTAATGGACTATTTCTGCGTATATTGACAAATACAATTTTTAATAGAATTCGTAAATAAAAAGTATATGGATTTGTAAAACAAGTAAAACATTAATTTATTATTATTATATATTTTTACCGCTTAAATTAAAGAAAATGATGTATAATCAATAAAAATTAGTATTAAAATATAGGCAGACAACAATATTTACTGGAAAATGTATGAGAAGTTGCCTAAGTCTAAAAAGTTGTTCTCTCAAAATAAAAAAATACCATTTAATAATAAAAAAAGAATCGTTATTTGTATTTTCATTTTTGTTCGAAAGAAAACATAGAATGAATGAATAAAACTGGTTTCTCATCAGTAAGTCACAAAATTGCATTCCAGTCACATATAATAATCAAAGGCAGAAATATTGAAATCTAGTCCTTGCTGAATGAACATTTAAGAATAAAGGGATATTAAGGAACATTGTAAAATGATAATTTATTGTTTGTTTAAAACCTTTCAAGTTTCTGATGTCTACTATTTCCAGCATTACTCTTATTATTACAAAAATAAAGGTAATGTTTCTTCTTATTGTACACCGATCCATTTATTTCTTTGATTTAATTTCCACTTTGCTACTGAAATTTTTTATATAAGTTTCACTGTTTTTTTTTTGCTAGTATTTGTACAATGTTCAACACAGCAACTCCGGTTGCTTATTTATTGTATTGTTTTTACCTACTTTTAAAAAAAAAAGTAAAATGTATACGTGTATTTGATATGCCAAAATTACAAAATATCGCCCTAAAATGCACGAATTATCCGCAGCTAGCGCTAATATCGCTTTTGCTTCCATTTCCATGACTTCGCATGGAGCGAATTGATAATTCTCTTCTCAAATACTAGATTCCTGATTAGCAGTAACATTGACCTTTTTAATGTCTTTCAACAAATTGAAATTAATATTCGATAAACATACATTTTAACAAAAACTATTAGTACTTATAACTATTAATAACTTATACAGGGTGTCCCGAAATTAGACGGTCATATTTTAACAGCATAATCTACATCCTAAAATAGGAGTAAAAGTTCATATAAACATAGGTCCGAAATCGTTTCTTTTCCGAGATACAGGGTGTTAAAAGTGAAGTCCTGATGATACTCTTGTGTAAATATTTTCTAAACGTTTAAAGATAACTAAGTAAAATTTGGTACAAATGCTAACCTTTTTACGCTCTATTTAATACCAGCTTAAGCCCAGTTTTTGATGATCTTCATAGGTGGGTAAAGTAGGGGAGGCTTAGTGTAAAATTTTATTTTTTATTGACAGTTTTTACCATTTTTGACTATAAAATTTGGAAAACCAATGTTTTCTTTATAATAAAGTTACAATTGTTGCATCTCGATAGGACGCACCTTTTTCAAGAAAAAAGCATTTGAAAATTTCAAGATAAGTTATTCGAAAGTGTAAAAAATAATTAGTAGGCCTATGAAATCAGAAATTTAATTTTTTTTTACTTTGGAAAACCAATGACTAAAGAAATTTTAAAAAATATTTACAAAAATAGGCCATCAGGACTTCACTTGTAAACGAAACGTTTTCGGACCTATGTTTATATGAACTTTTGCTGCGATTGAGAATCCACATCGGATGCATCTGAGATGTAGTAAATCTTTGATCACGTGATTCAGTATACGTAAATGTAATGGGACAGATGTGCCAGATGTGAATAAAAAAACGCTCGAGATGTAAAAAATGCATCCGATGTGGATTCTCAAACGCGGCATTTTATTCTTATTCTAGGATGTAGATCACGCTGTTAAAATATGACCGTCTAATTTCGGGACACCCTGTATAACTCATAATATTACACATATTATATTTTTTATTAATTGTATACCATTGTTTAAATTTATTTCTAGTTTTAGTAATTATTGTAATTGCTACTCAACTGTATAACATGTAAATGGATTGCATTCTGTTCGTTTTGCAGTATAAATAAATAAGCAAATAGAAAAACTTCTTGTGGTAGACCAATATATACCGTTCTCAGGCCTGATTGATATTTAATTTTAGGACAACTTTGATCCCTTTCAAAAACTTTTTTAATTTTTATGTGAATGTTCAAAATATTTTAGTGATAAAAAATATTTGAATTCGTAATGTTCTTTTAGTGGACAATGCTACAAGCGGCAAATGCAACCTTTGCAAAAAACGGCAGGGTTTCCTTTTGCCAGAAAACCACATTCTATAAGATTAGTAGAAATTCCAGGAGGCCAAAAGGGCATAAAATTATCGAAAAACTCTTCGCAACCAGGATGTAATTCTCAGTGCTTAACTATATCTGAGTGAGTACACAAATTCTTAACTTTACTAAAATATGTTAACAGTTAACACTGCATGATTCTTTTAAGTATTTAGGTACAGTTATAAAAATAATTTCATTTCATTTAGTACAAATAAAATTTAAAAATTCTACACTTATAGGTTATTCCACATAGTGTGGTCCTTCAGTAGTTGTTTGACTAGTATATCCACATCTACATAAACATATACAGGGTGTCCTAAAAATAATACATTCCTGAAAGAGAATAAACTAACAACTTTTTCGTTTATTATATTTGCCTGAAGATGGCCTTAATGGCCCGAAACTAGTCGCAACAATAAAAATTTACGACTTTGGGTTTCATTCATTTGTTAAGAAAATGACCACATTTGAGAAAATGAAAAATTTATCACTGACAACCAGACACTTAATAGTTATTTTTGTTCAAATATGTCAAAAACCTTGTTTTTCGGACAGATACCATTATCGAAAAGTATAACTGCAACATAGTTCAAATGAACTTCCTCAAAACACTTTTACAACTCACACCAAAAAAGTCGAGCTGCTTCAATTTGCAAACAATCTTTTTTATTTTCAGTTACTTTACAGTTAATATTGCTGACTATATTTTTTTTTTCTTTGACAAAATAGTAATCCATATGCATATTAAATTTGAATACAAGCATTTTTAATTGAATAAGAAAAAGTACATAAACTATAATTAAATTGATTTGGCATAAGCACACTGTGGTATGAATATACCTACCTTTTGGGTATTTCAGTGACCTGTCAAACAAGGCTGGGTTGATATATCTGAGGAGGTTGCGCATAGCCTTCCATCTTGGACGATATTTTTACTTGAAATAGTAGTCGCAAAGCCTACCAATTTAAGAAAAATGTTTCATGGTGTTGTCTACTTAAGCTGACTATATTATTTCCTCCCTAGTCTCAGTGATCCCTTCATCAATTTACTGGGTCTACATTGCAACCCCTTAAATATACCAACCGTTTCCTTCGGCAGCTATTTTATTTAGAACTCCTAACAACTAACGTCACTGTGAAATGTTTTCAGTCTACTGAGAATGTGATTTACTTAAAAAGACGAGCAACTTGACATTAAAAATCTAAATTCTGACAAAATGGTTCCTCTTTCAGACATTTGTCAAGGGTACCATTTTAATGTAAAATTGAAAATCATAATTTAAATTTTATTTTACAAAAAATTAGCAAACAGAAAACGGGGAGGAAATAATTCCTCGACCCCTTTCCAGACAGAAATTTTTGGAAATGATGCAATTTAATAAAAGGGTTCGTAAGTTCGTGAGATATCGTTGAAAAAGTAGTAACCTTCTACCCCCTTGGAAGGGGTGTACCACTCTTATTATGGGTTTTCGGACATTTGTTTATTAAAGTAGTTCACTCGTAAAACGGCTTTTCTTAAGAATTCAATAAAATTGAAATATAAGGTTAATGAAACTGTCTTTTATGTAACTAAAAAAAAATTAAATTTTTTGACCCTCTGTCAAACGAGATATTAACAATCAAAATGTGCATAATTAACACTCTTGAAGCCTCTCATGTACATAAGTAATGCATTTATTTCAAGATATCTCGAAAACGGTTCTTACCATATTTTTTAAAAACAAATGTAATGTAAATCAAGAAGTTATAAAATTTTCTAAAGAAACGCTGAATTTTTTGACCGTCTTAGTAAAAAGATATAGATTTTTAAAATAAAAATATTTTTAAAGCAATCGACGCGTAGTTGCGTAAAATTATTACAACTTGGCAACGTTGTATACGCTGCAATCAACGCGTTGTACTAAAATAACACTCGATCAGCTAAGAGGATGTTATAACCTCGCGACGTTTCTTGAAAAATTAATTCGTCCACTGTATTTGAGAACTGGAATCAGCGGTTCTGCTTGAACCAAAACAAACCCTTAAAATTAATATGAGGAAGTCACAAATTTCTATAGCAAATCATTTATATATTTATGAAGTTGCCGGATGGATTTTAAAAATTTATATACAGTGTGTCTACTTGAGTTGGAACCATATGGAAAACATTTTTATTATTGATTTTAGGAAAAAAAGTTATTCTTGATAAAAAGTCCTGCATGACCCAAAACTTAAAATACAGTTATCAGATATCAAATTTTTCAAGCCGTATACGAGGTTTGTCAAAAAATATTAATTTTGCTCAAGAGTAAAGTACGTTTATTTTTTTACAAAATTGAAAATTTTCATTAAGAAATTTGCTAAATTCTTCAACAAAAGGAAAGCGTATCATGTTTATAGTAGCTAACGTAATTTATAACGTTTTCAGATATTTACAATCAATGTGTAGAGTGTAGAGTTTATAAAAAATAAGAAAATCTGTTTTTTCAGATAGATCGGTGTAATTGCATATTTGAATGTAATATTCAATTCTAATCAACTTTTCTTAATGAAAATTTTCGATTTTGTCAAAAATAAACGTACTTTACTCTTGAGCAAAATTCATATTTTTTGACAAACCTCGTATACGGCTTGAAAAATTTGATATGTGATGACTGTATTTTAGGTTTTGGGTCATGCAGGACTTTTTATCAAGAATAACTTTTTTTCCTAAAATCAATAATAAAAACGTTTTCCATATGGTTCCAACTTAAGTAGACACACTGTATATAAGCTTACATGTGTTTTGTACAGTCTCTTACAAAAATAAAATTGATTAGCATTGAGAATCTCGAACTATTGGTATTCACCATTAAGCGATACTTTTATGTACGACTGTCGCGAGTGAACTACGTTAAATAAACTAACATTATTTTTTGACTTTCTATTGACCCTAGAGAGTTAGTCAGGACTTTATAAAATACCCTGTGTAAAAACATTTTAAATGCATAAATAAAAATAAAATAATACTGAGGAAGGCTATGGATCGTGGAGTCGAAGGCTTTGTAACAAACCACCAATGTGATTTTTCATTTCTATCCTGTCACAAAAAACTACAAAACTAATCTATAATGGGAACATTGTACTAAACCTGACCCTTGAGATAATCCTGTATAATTCAGCTATCTACAGTGACATAACGGTCTTCAATTACCCACATACAATTAACAACAATACGCAATAAAAATTAGAATTCAGTGCGTTAAAATACTAAAAACGATTTTTTCGCCTCTTTATTTACATTTACCCACAAGGGAAACTACTAACGTGTGCAAATGCTCATTGTAATATTTAGCAATATTTACCATATTTAATCAGTCACCTCTATACTATTTGGTAAAACATAATGCCAAAAAAATCTGTTAATCATTGAGCACATTTTTATACTTTTTAGTTAGTAATCTATTGTTGCAATCAATATTTAATTTAAAGATAGTATGTCATGTAATAAATAAATAAAAGTGAATTTTATTTTTCCTTAAAATGACTAAATGGTTAAAAAATAATTCTAAAAATGAAACTATTGAATAATTTCAATAAATAAAAGTTATTTTTGTTTTTATTGCAAAATAAAATAAAAATATATAATTATGTAAACATTGAACTAAGAGCTTATAATAAATTATTAAGCTTCATATCTTAATAGTGTGGAATATGGACACAGTGTGTTTAAAATGATTAATCATGATCTTATAAAATTTTATGAATATCCTAAAAAAGTGAGTAAAACTATTTTTAAGTTGACAGTTTGTTTTTATTGATTCAGGTTTTTATGGAAAATTCATGGAAAGTTGATGCAAGTGGCTTTCGCATTTCTAACATCTGCTTTTAATCTATGCTGCTATTTTTTACCTCCTTATAGGTACGTCGAAATGCTTTTTAACTTTAATAATACAAATAATAATAGATTAATTAGTATGGCCCCTTAAATTTTGGAAAAAATTAGTGAATTATTTGAATCAGTGCAATGTTCACTTTGTGTTTCAGATTTGTAATTTATATATTGGTTGATCAATAAAAAATGGGTCTTATGTTCATTAGATCATCAGGATTGTACCGGATTGGATTATTTGAAATACAAAAGAAACTGTAAAATTTTAGTACATTCGAGAGTGAATCAAATATAAACAGAATTTAGAATACAACACACTATTTGGTTTTGGCTTCCATTGATATTTTCCCACAAATTCTGATTAGATTTTTATATAAAATATAAGTACTGAATACGTTCCTTGTATTTACTTATGAAAACTTAATGCAGACGATTTCTTCAGGTTTTTATTTTTGTAGCTTGTACAGTTAAGTTATTAAGCACACTAGTCATGCTTTTTCTGTAAAACATTCGATCAAAATAATACCCAAAAGCAGTAAATAAGGTTTCAGAAAGTGACCACCAGAATGGCGCTCGTGTACTAGAAGGGAAAAGTCCAATGATATACAGGGTGTTTGATAAGTACGGTACATAACTTCAGGAGCGTATTCTGGAGCTAAAATAAAGGTATTTTTGTCATATACACTATGTCTCAAAAATGCATCGTTACGGAAATACAGGGTGTGAAAGTTTCATAAAAAAAATACAATTTTTTAAATATTTCCAAAACCACTTGAGATATTTTGATTAAATTTTTGCAGCTTTTGAGCGTTAGCAACGTCGCGTGTTTTTCTTATGGTATTACAACCTTGAATTATTCGATTTCTTAAATCATTTTCATTTAATACAGGTGTCTCATACACGAGTGATTTAAGGTGACCCCATAAATAAAAGTCCAAGGGATTAACATCGGTACTGCGAGGTGGCCAAGCTTGAGGACCTCCGCGTCCAATCCAGCGATTAGGAAAAGTGTTGTCGAGGTATTGGCGAGCAAGAAGGCTAAAATGGGCTGGTGCATAAACCATAAATCTCTTACTTGCAGAGGCACTTCTTCTAACAGACCATTTAGTTCTTCGTGCAAAAACTGAGTATACGAATCACCATTCAGTCGAGGGGATAAAAAGTATGGTCCAATAAGATGGTCATCAATAATCCTTATCATTTAGTGAAAATGTTTGCTGAAAGCGACCTTCTCTTATTGCATGAGGACTCTCCTTAGCCCATAAATGTTCATTATGAAAATTAATAATTGCCTCATCAGTAAATAAAATTAGGGTCAAAAAGTTATTGCAGATATGAGCAACTTTATGGAGTAACCACCTACTAAAATTTAGCCTTGGCTGAAAGTCGCAGGGCAGCAGTGCTTGTACTCGTTGTATGTGGTATGGGTAGGGTTGCCATATTTCCGGAACTGAAAAGCATGGCGACCGTGTCGATAGAGCATTTTTATATAATCAGGTCCATTTTTTGTGAACATTTCTAAAAAAAGCTCCTCAGCTAATTTTCCGTAAAAACGAGGGTCTTTTACGCGGATATTTCTCTATTTTTTTATAAATCCGATTCCTCTGCGGCTTTTAAAAAGCGTGGAATTTGCATAAAAAGCGTACAGGCAAGTCAAAAAGCGTGGCAATCACGCCAAAAGCGGGACGTCTAGCAACCCTAGGTATGGGTGAAGCAGAGAAACTTTCAAAACTCTCCAAAGAGTATTTGCACTTACTTCAAGCTGTTGTGCAATCTTCCTGGTACTAATTGAAGGATTTTCTTCTATCTCCTATAGTATAGCTTCTTCTAGCTCAGGCGTTGTTACTGTTCGTGGTCTACCAGGAACTACCTGATTATGCTCAAAACTACCGGTTTCACTCAATCTGGCATGTATCTTTCTAAATGTTTTAGCACATGGCGTTACCCTATTCGGATAACGTTGCTGATAAATTCTTTTAGCTTCCGCTGAATTCCCATTTGCTAAGCCATAAATGAAGTGCATTTAAGCCATTTCAGCGTTAGTATAGTTATTCATTTCAATGTCTGACATACAAATAAACAATTGGCGACTAATAAAATGTCAAACAAATACCTGGGAAAAATTGAAAATAACTTTTTTGTTGTACATTGTTCAAAGAGATTAAAAATAATAAAAAAGAATGAAAAAATTTACTGTCTTTGTTGCTTTTTCTTCAAAATCGAACATTAAAAACAACAGTGGCGTAACACGTTTTTCCTTCCATATTTTTCAGCGATTAGTTTGATTAAAATATCTTAAGTGATTTTGGAAATATTTAAAAAATTATATTTTTTTATGAAACTTTCACACCCTGTATTTCCGCAACGAACCATTTTTGAGACATAGTGTATGACAAATATACCTATATTTTAGCTCCAGAATACGCTCCTGAAGTTATGCACCGTACTTATCGAACACCCTGTATAGTTATATAGATTGCTCATCCATATGTAAAAAATTTCTCTACTATTATAAGCTCAGTCAGTTTTCACTATGTGGTTTTTAGTTTTTATACTATACCCTTTTAGCATATATATCCTTTTATTTATATATGGGTGAGCTATCTATATGACTGTCGACATCATTGGTGTGATTGTGTAATCTTAATTATCTACTGAACTATGAAGACTAGAGAGGAGGCGAATCGGCATACCTAAAATACGCTCCCAAAAAACGAGCCCTAATTAAACTTTTACAATTCACCGCAGGGGCGCTGGTGTTATGTTGTTGATAATGGGGTGTTAATACACTGCGACCTAAAAGATCTATTGTGCCCCCTTCTGTCGCCACTGCACTAAGGAAATGTCTCAATGCCTATAGCGACCCTTCCAATCCTATTTTTTCAAGGAAGTGTAGGATTTGAAGTGGCTTCAAGTTAGGTAAGTCTCCCTCTTCTATTTGATATCCTCCTAGATATAGTGCCCTTGGATTCTGGAGTGCTACACATTCAGTTAGGATGTGAATGGAGGTTTCGTCCTCCTCCTCACAGAATCTGCACTCACTATCCTCTACTACTCTCAGTTTACTTAGATGTCCTTTTAGTCGGCAGTGCCCGGTAAGGATCCCTGTTACAATACGTAGCCTGTTCTTGCTCAGGCAGATGCAGGCTTCCGATCTTTTTTGGTTATATTCACCCAGAAGTATCTTGGCCTGTCTCGGCCCCAAGAGATTGTTCCAATTATCGGTTCTTCTACTACCCAATTCTTTTTTAATCTCTTCTAATATTATGTTACTGCTGATACCGCAGAACGGCTCAGGTCCTACAAAGGGTGTTTGAGCCCCTTTCCTTGCAAGACTATCTGCAATCTCGTTACCCTGTACCCCGTTATGTCCCGGGACCCAAGTGAGAGTAACTCTATTTTTCTCGCCTAGCTCATTCAATTGTTCTAGGCATCTCCATACCATTTTTGAGCTGATTACGTAAGAACTCAGCGCTTTGATGGCTGCTTGACTATCGGACATGATGATAATCTCTTGTCTATGATAGTTTCTCTCGATGTTAAACTGGATACACTTCTCGATGGCGTGAATTTCCGCCTGGAAGATGCTTGGGTATTTTCCCAAGCTTTCGGAGTGCTTGGTTCTCGGCCCATACGCTCCTATTCCAGTTCCTTCTATGGTTTTGGAACCGTCCGTGTACCACTGAATAGCACGTCTTTCGGTTGCAAGCGCGATGGATTCTTGACTCCATTCTTTCTTGCATCCCAGCTCTGTGGTTTTGAAGTTTTTCACAAAACTGTACTTCTTTTGCATTTCATCCTGGGGCATGTCCCAGGTATCTTTAGTCCTGAAGCAAGTAGACTTTCGTCTGATTACTCCGCTCCTGATCATTCTATATCGTGTCCTTTTTGCCACATTCTCTATCATCAAATGTAGAGGGGTGAGGTTTAAGATCACCTCCATTGCGGCCGTAGGACAGGTTCTCATTGCACCAGTAATGCAAACACAGGCTAGTCTTTGTACTTTTGAGATATTAGCTCTCGTAGTAACTAAACTAGTTCTGTTACTCCAGGCTATAGCCCCGTAAGTGATGATTGGTCTCACTATTGCAGTATACATCCATCGCAGTATGTTTGGGTTACATCCCCATCGTTTACCCGCCATGTTTCTGCATACCATTAGGGCTTTTGTGGCCTTATTTACTACTTCCTTCTCATGTGTGTTGGTGTTGCTAGAGATATTTAAAATACATGGATTCTTATGGGAATTTTACATAATTTTGTAAAAAGAATAAAAATAAACTTGTTTATTGCTAAATAAAGCATATAAAATATTGTATTTTTTTAAAAATAAGTCTTGCATGTTTTAAGTGATAAATTATTTAATTTTATCTATATAAAATGCAAATTGGGTATGACCAAATTCGAAATGGTTTGTTAAATGGTGAAATTTGTACAATTTTGTGGCTATTTTTTTTTAATTTTACCTAAATATAGTTTTAAAACACAGTTAGATTTTTTACTGTTATAATACAAGTATAAAGAGATATTCGGGAATCTACATATAGCGTTTTCGATTCCACTGCACTGCCCGCGGGGAGTTGTTGAACCCAATTTTATCATTGTAAATGTTTTTTATAGAACAGTGGCAGCATAATAATATCATTCCTAGGGCCGATGAAGCACTTTCTAGAGACGATGAAAAATTTACAGTCATAAATTCTGACTTACAAACAACAATAATTACTTATTAAATTTAACTTGGTAGAAAAGAAAATTATTTTTTTGAGAGTTTTAATGTTAGATGAAGAGTTACTACTGTTATCCTTTTGTTGAACCCAATTTTATCATTGTAAATGTTTTTTATAGAACAGTGGCAGCATAATAATATCATTCCTAGGACCGATGAAGCACTTTCTAGAGATGATGCTGTTTGCGACTACACTTTTTAGAAGATATTTCCAAATATTGTGAGACTCTTTTACTTATTGTACTGTTATCAAAATAAAAAGGGGAAAGCCGAAATTAAAGGCTGAGGCAATACCATGTACATTCCCAAATCTCCCTTTATGCTGGTAATATAACAATAAAAAATAAAAAAAAACTATATTTAGGTATAATTAAAAAAAAAAATAGCTACAAAATTGTACTTACCAAATTTCACCATTCAACAAACATTTTCGAATTTGGTCATACATACCTAATTTGCATTTTATATAGATAAAATTATAATTTACGATTTAAAACATGCAAGAAATAAAATAGAATAGAAATAGAAATAAAATACAACAGTATTTTCTGTGCTTTATTGGGCAATAAACAAGTTTAGTTTTATTATTTTGACAAAATTATGTAAAATTCCCACAAGAAGCGTTGTATTTTTAACAACACTAGCAACAGCAGCGCCCATGCGGTGATTTGTAAAAGCTCGAGTAGCGTTCGTTTTTTGCCAATTCGCATCCTTATCTCTAGCCTTCATAGTGCTTGTATATGTCATCAAAAAGCCTTTTATAATCACCAAAAGTCTAGTCATATAGAGAGTACTTCACAGAAAACCAAAAATATCTTTAATTTTATAACTTTGTTACGATAGTGGTAGACATTTGAGAGGATAGTTTTTTTAGATGGATCCAAATTCTCGGTTCTTTCGACATTTCCTACTTGTTTGTTTCGATTAACCACAATTGATCTTCTTAAGGATATTGCCCTCGAACCATGCATAAAGTCTTCTCCAAATTTCAGTTGATAATAAATCCATTGCCTAACGGACGGAGGTACTGTTTGCTCTGATACCGTTAGGTGGGAATCCCCTTTAATCATCCCTTCACCACACGGCGCGTAAAAATCCTGTTTGTATTTGATTCACCTTCTCAGATTGTTATTGTAATTTTCTTATTTAATTAATTAACATAATGAAATAATTACTCATATATTTAACAAATAACTTAAAACATACCAGTGACATTTTAATCATCTCCGTGAGGTCTGGTACCTTTTAAAATCCTGTCACCAAAACATAACAAAAATGTAAATTTTATAACAACTACAAATTGTAGTAGATACATTAAATTGATGAAAATTATTATAAATATAAAAATGATTTTAAGTTATATTATGTATAAGAAAGTATAATTTTGTTTTTACTAAAATTTACAACTTTTTCTCATTTATTTTATTTTGTGACTATTGTGCGATATAAATAGTAGACTTTTTAAAAAATACATGGTGTTCCATAACACTATTGGCGTTTTCTTTTTAATTTATGGATGCACTCTAATGATTATTAGATATTTAAATTGCAAGATGTTTTGATCATATGTAAAGTAAACATTTGTAAAAATAAACTTTTAATATTTTTAAAACTGAAAAACTTGGAAACCATGAATTAGATCAAGAAAGTCCAATTATTAAAATATTTTTTGACTTACTGAATACCATCAAATAGTTAAGTGACCATTTTCTAGAAAATCAGGGAATTTTGATTGCTTATGTAAAGTTAGGAAAATTTCATTGAAATGAGTTAGTTTTTGAAATTAGAGAAATTGTAAGAATTTTTTTATATAATATTGTGACGTAATATGTTTTGCACACAACATACAAACGTAAAATATTGTAAATTAGTGAGAAAAAACCATAAAAAGTAATTTATCAATTGAAATTTGATAACCACCCTTAGTAATTATTGTTTATGCTTATGTTTGTTAAAAAAAATTGACATTTTTAGGTTGGATATGAATAACGACTTGATGTCTTTGCACATTGGTGATAAAATTTTAGAAATAAATGGTATGCCTGTTAGAGATACATCTGTAGAAAATGTAGAAAATTTGCTAAGATACTCGGACACAGTATTGCAAGTAAGTTAGTCATAATACCCTAAACAGTACCATATTTCATATGACTGTGTTTACTTACATTTTTTAGTTAACAATTGAACATGATCCAGAAACAATATCTAAAAATCTTGCCAAATTCACAGCTTTAAGACATTCCAATATTCCATTAACGATGACAGCAAGTGATACAAACATTCCCAATATAAAACACCAACCAGAAGATCTCAACTGTTCCGGATCAACAGATTCACTAAAAAGTGATCAAAATATAAAATTCTTTAATGTTTCTGTATCTCAGCCAGAATCGTTTGAAAAACCTAATAACAATAACAATCATCAGGGATTAAACAAAGAAAGGTTATTTAAAAGAAAGGATGAAGGTTATATTAGCGGGACAAGATCACGGCAGTTGAGGAGAAAAAATAATTTACCTGATAATCAGTGTTTGGACAAAGAAAGGAGTTCTTCTATGAGTCGATTATTAGATGAGTAAGTATGCAATATTAAGTGTAACTTTTGTAACAACATGATTTTTTGCGCCTAAAACACTTATAGAAAATGCTAGCTTTTCATATGATTTAAAAATTAGTACGATTACAACTATTGAAAAAGTATCTAATACAAATACAGGCGTAGAATACCTTCCAATCAAAACCTTACCTTGTGCTAAAAAATTGTTAGAAGCAGTAGTTTACCAACAGTTGTTGGAAACTCTTTAGTAACCAATCTGGTTTTAGATTTAACCATTTCTGTGAATCAGCACTTCAACTTAAATTTACTGAATAAAAAGACAAGATAAGTAAAGATATGTATACTATAGTGGTATTCTTAGACCTCAAACGTGCGTTTGAAACTCAATCATGTAATATTATTATTAAAAAAAAAAAAAGTATTTGATTGGATCAGTGATTACATTACAGACAGAAACCAAAATTATTGATTCAGTTTCAACATAAATTGGTGAAGTAGATGTCGTTCCCCAGGGAAGTATTATTTTGCTGATGATGCAAATGTTTCAGTTAATGATAGAAATAGAAATATTTTATTCTCAGTAATACATACATAAACATGTTTATATAGTCGTCAGTACACATAAATGGTAAAATACACCATATTTTACATACATTAACATTACAGCATACCTCTATAAAATTTAAAATAAAATAGGATTTTAATAGATCATGGTTGGTAATAGTAATAAAAAAATATATAAAAAAATACAATATTAAAAATATTAGGTGACATGTTCCATGTATAATGATCTAGATGTAGCTATTCAAAAATGAACAATTCTTTAAACAATATTGATAGCTGAAAATTTTTATTTATCGCAAAATTGCAAATGGAAATCCGAAAAGTCAAAGAAATATCTGAAATAAGTGGCTGAATACTTTGAAAATTCAGAAACAAATCTCAAGAATCCGGCTACGAATTATTAAGACCATCCCCGAACCCCAAAGGTGAAAACAAATAATTGAAGATTTAAAAAAGCCTGTTGCAGCCGGGTATCTAATCCGGACAACCTTGTATGCTAGACAAGTGCCCTTCGTTCTATACAAATCACGGCATTGATTTCTAGATAGAAAATTGATGTACTAATTCGGGACAGACGATTTTCAAGCTCGTTTTCAAATCTTCAAATAACTGTATACAGCATCGGTGTATATTTGTAAATTATCTTTAGGCTATCTCGTTCTTGTTTATTCACTGTCATCAGGACATCTACGAAGATTGACAAACACATAACCATAAGGTCAACTAAAGACAGTAAATCGTTCTCTGCGCTCGAACTATATTTACTTTGCATAAATTTGCAGGTGGGTAGCATTCTTGTTTTGCCTTTTGTAAAAGACTATAACAAAGGTAGAATTTTTTTTTGGTATTGCTAATAATTTCATACTGTCTACGAACATTGTCAATGCTTGTAATGGTGTAAGAGAGCAAGTTCCTCTAATCATTGATTTAGAAAATGCCCTTTTATTTTTTGTTGCATGTGTCAGGGTACTGGTGATTTCTTTGAGTATATCAGAAGCATCTCGTTTTCCACTTTTCCACAATTTAACCTGAGCAGCATGAACGATTACTTCTTTATTTAAAGTAGATCGAATCTCCTCAGTTTTTCCTTTTAGGTTTTTTACTTAACTTTTTATTATCTTTGGACCTTATTTGTTTAATTTGAGAGTAATTGCGTTTTAGATTTTTTAGATTTAGATTCTGTATGCCGTCAAACAAATATTTACGGGTCACAATTCTTTCTCCCGAGGTACTTTGTGAACCTAAAATAAAAATAAATTCTTAAAAATGTATTCAACATAATGTTTTCGTAAAAAAATCGAAGTATTAAGATAATACTTATCCACGTTTTTCCAGGATTAGTTTTTTAATAACTTACTACTCAAAGCTCTAAACTATCAATTGTTAGAAGAATTATAATAGGATCTAACTTGGAAGTATAACAAATACTTTAATAAATACAAATATTAAGTCAAAATTATTCTATATTATGTGTAACTTTCAATACACTAAAACTAATCTTAAAGACAATAAAAATAATCAAGGGTAATATACCAAGATCTTGATAATAGTCGGCTATTTTTGTTGAATCTGTATCTCAAGAATATTTTAATATCAATTTGATGAGACATAATTTTTGGCATTAATAATCAATTGAATATTAATGCCAAAATTATGTAGAATATTAGAATATTAATCAAGGTCGTGTTATATTTGGAACGACTATTTCACTAGACCAAATATCGACTATTTCTCTAGAGAAATAGTCGCTGATATGTGGTCCAGGGAGATAGTCAGAATTAAAAATAATGAAAACAATCAAAAGTGTATCATTACCTACTGTACCAGGATCCGTTACTCTTTCTTCAGGGGTAAACTTACATACACTAACTGTGACGATCAAATTCAGACTGCCAGTGAAGACGAGATGTGCATGCAGGAAAGATGGGAAGGGCTAAGTATTCTCAAACTAGTCCCCTAACCCAAGTAGTCGTTTTTATTTATCAATTTTGCATTTTATAAAATTGACTTTTGGCCGCGTAGATCGTTCAAATACCCGTATGTGCGCCGTCTGGGCCCAAACTAGCACATCAGATTTCTGTCTAGGAATCTCAACAGTCAATGTCGTGATGGTCTAGAATCTAGAAGGAAGGGCACTTGTCTAGCATACAAATATAAATATGTGCGGGTACGATTCCCGCATAATAATTCGTAGGGGGATTTTTGATATTTGTTTTTGACTTTTCAAATTATTTATACCAAAATAGACCAAAAAATATCGATGAACGCATACAGTTCGAGATGGAGCAAATAAGGAGTTATTGAAAAAGTTCAGGAAGAGTTCGCTGTACGTTTATCTCACCTGCTGAGGATTGTTAATTTGAGTATTTCCTTCGAATTTGGTTGTATTTAATAAACAAGAATAATAATTGTAATAAAAATGTTTGACAATGTAAAAACTTGAATTACTTAAACTTCTTAATACGATTTGATAGATAATTAAAAGACCTTTCAAATGATGTGTCGCATGAACCACATTTATATTTAAAAAATCATCGATGACGTCATGAATAACAAGGCGTGTTTGAAAATAAAAATCGATGGGTTTCAGGATTTTTTTCTAAAAGTCAACGAGTTAGGAAATACTGTATAAATGCAGGTGTAATTCATATTTTTTTAATTCATACCCGATTTGGAGGAAAAAAAAAATGTTTGTCTTGTTATGTAAACTTTAAAACCTTTTTAGTTTTATATGTGGCAATGGTGCCTAGTAATTGATGACAGTTGTTAAAGGGTTGAACATTAATACCTAAAGAAATAAACTTACACTTTTGTTACATATCAAAGTAGTAATAAAACATTTTAAAGATTAAATACCTAACCTTCTTTCTCAATTTTAGCTACCAAATAATTATTTTTAAGGCACTTTGCTAGGGTGTATTTTTTAACTTTTTTAAAATCCTATTTCAAAGCGATTAGTAATACGCAGTTGATTTGTTGAGCAGTGTATTGAATAATATTTTGCTTACTGTATTATTATATTAAATTTTACAATAATGAAATTTTCCTGAAATGTAATGCACTCAAAAAGTATTCACCATTGTTTCCATAAATAATCTTTAAAATTAAATTTTTATAAAAAAAAAGTAGATCGATATTATTTAAAATCTTAAATAATTAATAAATTATGAAACAACAATAATAATTTTAAATTAATAATCTGTAACACGTGAAATTTTCTAATATTAACTAATTGCCAGATCTCCAAACTCAAAGAGATGTTTAGAGCTGTCCAGAGCTTACTCATTTCTTGAACCTAGACCACAACAAAGGGTGTTCAGAGCATCCGATTTAGTAAAAGGGGAACTACTAGGACAAGGCTTTTTCGGTCAAGTATATAAAGTAACCACTAGAGATACGGAAGAAGTTATGGTGTTGAAGGAACTATACAGGGTCGACGAGGAAGCCCAAAAAAACTTTTTAAAAGAGGTAGGTTGATAACATATGATTCAATTTTGATTTATTTTCATAATTTTCGACTGCTAAATACGTGGTGAAAATTTTGGGTGCCAAATCGTGTACCTTGAGTTAGGTAACTTAAGTTTGCAAATTCTTTAATGCATAAAAATAAAATCGGTTATTTTCAATAAATTTTAATTCGTTCGTTGGATCGAAATGAAACTACAATTATTGTCGTCAGACTGTTAAACAGGTGGTCTATAGATGTTTCTTCCAGTGATGTGCGGTCATAATAAATGTATTAAATTGTATTTTTTGACTTTACCAAATATTACTTTGCAATTATAATCATAACATTCTACTATGCTAAAATTAATGATTTTCTAGAAAAATCTCATTTTGATTATGGACATTCCTTGGCATCATATCCCAAAGAAAAATTTGTCTATCACAATGTACCTAATTTGACACCAGAAATTTGAACTAGCTGTAGGCAATCAAATTTTGTGACACCCTATATATTGAGATAAAAGTGGTGTATTCAATAGATAATTTTCTTCAAATTCATTCTATAAACATAAATATTGTCTATTTTTAGGTGGCTGTACTGAGAAGTCTGAGCCATAACAATGTACTGCGTTTCATTGGAGTATTATATAAAGAAAGACGCTTACATTTAGTTACAGAATATATTTCTGGTGGCACATTAACTGAATTACTACACGATTCCAGCCAACCCTTACCTTGGGAGCAAAGAGTCTCTTTTGCCAAAGATATTGCTGCTGGCATGGCATATCTACATTCCATGAATATTATTCACAGAGGTATGAAATAAATCACATTTTTTTTTGTATATTAATAAATAGAGATGGGACTTTTCATGAAAAGTAAGTTTTGGACTAGTCCGACGGACATGTGCGGAAAAGTAATGAAAAGTCACGATGAAAAGTAGTCGACCTTGAGCATAGAAAATACCTAGTTAAATCTTCATCCTGGATGTTTTTTCAAAACACTTTGGGAATTTGTATTTTCGTTTTTTTAGGCAAATCATTTGTAAAATACTTTCAACCTTTGAATTTTTTTGGTAATTTTTTCACGAGTTTATTTTAATAAGATATGAAACGAAAATTCGAAAACTAAAACTAAATTTTGCCTTTGTAAGAAATTCAGATGAACTAGTTAATTTAATTTCGCGCATGGGCACTGCAGTTTTGAAAAGTGTGTTTGGACTACTCAACTTTTCAGACTAGTCCGTCGGACTTGTCCGTGGACTTTTCAAAGCCACCCATCACTATTAATAAATACAGTATTACGGATCCGTTATGTCTAAACGAGACCACATTACAATTTCTCTGTTAATGTGTTGAAATAGCTGAACATCAAGCTGGGTCGTTATCTGGTCATATATTGCTATTGTGTTCTCTACTCTTCAGGTTACGGTACATACTGTAAACATTTTATTTCCGAATCTATATTTCAGTATTTTGCAAAAAAAAATACCAATAAAAAAAATACTAATACAAAAAATATCGTTTATTTTTAGATCTCAATTCTCACAATTGCCTAGTGAGAGACGACAAAACTGTGATTGTAGCCGATTTTGGATTGGCGCGCATAATTTCCCATGCCACAAATAGCACCAGAAAAGTCTCACCGAAAAATCCATCTGGTGCGAAAAGACAAGAAAGAAAAAAACGATATACGGTTGTTGGGAATCCATATTGGATGGCACCAGAAATGATGAAGGGAAACAAATATGACGAAAAAGTCGATATTTTTAGCTTCGGTATAATTTTATGTGAAGTAAGTCCTTATTTTACAATAAATATACAGTAATCTATCTATAACAGGGCCACCTCAATGTCTGGACTTTGAAATACGAGGTGTGTAAATTCAATAGTACCCGACCTTAAAAATAAATTCTAAAACAAAACGATTCTCTCATCATTTGATTCTGCTGTATTTTTGAGGAGATTAACTGTCTGTTATATCGAATTTTAAATATTTCTGCTTTGTTATCCTTCCTGCTGCAAGGAATAATAATAATTGTAATTTAATATTTGTTTTGTAGATCATAGGAAGGGTTCAGGCTGATCCAGATTTCATGCCCAGATCCAACGATTTTGGATTGAATCAAATGGCTTTCAAAGAAAAATTTTGTACTTCTTGTCCAAAACCATTTTATAAAGTTGCTTTTTTATGTACTGATCTTAATCCTGATAAAAGGTGAGACATGGCGATTGAAAACTAAAAGTTGAATTGTACCTAAGTTTAAATGATTTATTATTTATTTTTAAAGGCCTCCGTTTGAAGTGATGGAAGTCTGGTTAGAATCCCTATCAATGCACCTCTCGGTTGGTATGCCCCTTCCTCCCGATCTTCTCTTTGACATTCAACACTATAGAGGACTTAGTCCCTCATCGTCTGGAAGTACAACGCCCGAAGGCATACCTTCCGGCCACAGAAGCCCCGCTTTGGAACCTATTTGCGAAGGCAAAATGGCCGACACCAAAAAAAGTTCCGAAAAGATTGCTGATATTAAGAGAAGTTCCGAAAAGATATATTCAGATGGTCCTAAGAATACAGATATAAAACGAAGCACTGAAAAGATTTATAAAAGTAACGAAAACCTTAAACCAATAAAGGTACATTCTGTTGATAATATTAAGCCTGTTATTAAAATTACGAATTGTGGTGCTTCGCCAGAAAAAACAAGTAAGTACTGTTCTTATCATAAAGCATTTACAAGATTTCTTTTAACTTTTTGATAAACAGCAGTAGTCCAGTCTTTGAAGGTAAAAATAGGCTATTACCTTAGAATTCTTTCAGACTACAAGGATTTGGATAAAATATTGCAATTAAGCTTACCCTCCTCTTCAAAAGTTATATTATGTTCCTGATGTGAGCTTATTTTTAGGGGTTGACAAAAAATTTTTTAATAATATTTAAGCCCTGTTTGGATTAAAATCATGTTCAAATAACAATTTTTTTTGTAATATTGAACATAATTTATGATTTATTGTAATGTTTCAATCCTTAAAAACCATCCCTTATTAGAACCACTCCCATGGTGAAAGTGCACATCAGCACTATATAACTTTACTTCCTTGAGACATTCCTCTAATTATCCAAATTGCACGTGAATCAGTTTAGTCCGAAAGAATTCGAAGCGAAAAACCGTCAAACACTGATTTACAGCTTTGTGGGTGAAACAAATTTCCTAAATCCGTACAAAATCGAGTAACCAGCATATTTAAAGTTATCAAGAAAAAATTGCATGGGCTTTATTTTTACGAAAATTTAAAAAAATCCTAATTTCTTAATTTCACTTTTAATTTGTAGATCAAATGACTTTTGATGCAAAACCTACGAGCGACATAGATATACCCGACTTAGAAAAAGACTTCCCTACTTATGAGAACATAGACTTCCTAAAAAACGACATGGCGTACATGGGAGATACAGAAAAATCTATAGCCATTCAAAAAGTAGAATCCGACCCCGTAAAATCTGATAAGTTTCAAACTGATACGACAGATAACAATTTGAGAGATAACCCTTCGCCGCACTTGAGAAAAATCCCAAAAAATTTCACTAGAAACAGACTGGTCAAAGAAATGAAAGAAAACCAAGCGAAAGAAAACAAAATAAAACTGATGAGCTTCGATTCTCCTCCACATCCGACCAAAGTTTCGAATTTAAATCTAAACAGCATTGGTTTGAAATCCAGCCAACCTTCTCAAGTTACAGAAAAGTTTGTCAACAACCTAAAAAATGTCAATATTAAAGAAACCCCAACGTACCAAAGATCTTTAAGTAACACCGAAAAAAGTACAAGTCCTGAAAGAAAATCTGATTTCAGATCGAGTTTAATTAGAAGAAAATACACGAGGGACTTTGAAAACACTCCAATTTTAAAAAGGACACCTATATTACAAAGGAGAGTGAGTCCTAAAACTGACGCTATTGATAATCAGTCATTCCCGCAAGTTAAAGATGCACCTCTACATTTTGACTCCAAAGAAAAGTCTTTTCCTGTTATGGAGAAGCCTTCTTTACTGTCAAAACTCACTCCTAGTTTGCCACGACGAACGGGTTTTTTAAATTTGGAAGATAATTCCGGTAACCTAAGTAAAAAACCATTTCTTGTTACAGCTACATCGGGTAGCTTGGTGAGAAACATGGTTGACAGTCTTAATCGAAAAGGAGGTTTGAGTTTTGGCAGTAGAGGTAACTTTGGAAGGTGTTCTTTGAAGGTTACCGGTTCCTCTAAGATTAATCTTAAAAAGGTAGGGAGGAGTGCTAGCCCTCCCGAGGAGTATACAGTGCTGTGATCCGAGAAGTTTTAAAAATCCATAAAAAATGTATTTTTTGTCTAGCTTTATGCAGAGGAAATTAAAATTTCACATTATAGCTGCTTCCGTGAGTATGTAATTTTTTATATAATATATTGAATATATGTCACTGATCATTTGTCAAATATAAATGACAGTTGACGCGTGTCAAATAGTTAAAATGACTGGTTCAGTGCCAGAGTTGCCTCAACAACAATTTATTAAAAGTGAAGAGTTCAAACCACTTTACCTGTGTCGACTAGACGTAACTGCCCAATCTATAGGTATAAATATTAACACTGAAAATGATCAATTTTAAGGAACGGGCAACTTTGGCATGCACAAAATGATTTTAAAATAATATGAAGACAGGTTGTTTTGAAATTATTAAAAGTGAATAAATGGAGATCAACGTACCTTACCTGACGTTACTATATGAAACTGCCTAATCTTAGATGGTGGCACCAAAAACGAATAATTTTATAAGGAATAGGCAATTTTGGCATGCACAGAAATTATTTTAGAATAATAATATAGGAAAAAAGGTTGTTTTGAAATGTTGTTGGTTAGGAAACTCGGGCACTGAGCCACTCTAATATGGAAGAATATGATAAAAAGATGTTTCATTTTTGAATAATACTATAATATTAATTTATCCGTTTTTAAAACAGACTTTATGAATTAAATGGACCACAGTTTTTTAAGGATTTTTTTGCGAAAATAATATGTATTAGCTAGTGTTTATCTAATGATCCTGTGTCCAAAACAGTTATTAAGGGTGCATGAACCCCTAGAAAGAGATTAATGATACTTTTTTACAGTATATTAAATTTTAGATAAGGGTACTAAAATATGCTATTTACATATGTTTTAATTCTTTCAATTCACTATGAGTAGTTTTCAAAGGGCGAGCTAACAATTAGACACCGTTTTTTTGATATTCTTTTTAGAAAATTCATATTAAAATAATTTCTAGATTTTTTCTATATAATGAAATTAGGAACTATGAATGCATCTAATACTAAGAGAGTGAGTTTTTTACGAACACTCTTTGCTACAAATGGCATACATATGTTTCATGTCTGACATGGTATTATAATAGAAGGTGAGCCAATGAACGGGACCATTAAAAAAAATCATCTTTTAAAATGTATTGATGAAAATATAATCTACACAAATAAATATTTTGTAAGTGCACAATCGTGGCATACATTTTGTCATGTTTGCAGCCTTGTTGCGAAGCTGCCCATAACCTTGCACAGCGCAACCAGGGAAGATCGTCGTTCTTGCTCATAAGACGACCGGCTTAGATAAAAGAGACCGAAGATGTAACATTGCACACTGCGCATGTTGTCTGTTTTAACTCCAAGTAACCCACCAATTGAAAATCATTGTTTGCACGACGCCACCCGAATTGCTCCGATTTCCCATTCAACGCTCACCTTCGCCTGAGTTCAATCACCATTGACAGCTGTTTTTTGATTTATTTGTTGGTGTTTTAGCAATTTAAAGTGTTCTAGTTATTCAATTTTAAACTCAAAATGCCACGATGTATCTTGAGAAATTGTATATACTTATAATACAAGTACCAATGTTATGAAATATAAAAAATATATTCGTTTTCAGCGGTAAATATTTGTTAACGTTTTGACATAAAGCGCCATAATCCTTTGAGCTGAATACATCAGATCCGCATTAAGGGATTTCAATAAATATTCATCAAATACATTTCAGAAAACAGATTTCGTATTACTTACATAAATTTACAAAAGGGTAAAAAATAGACATTGTTGCTATAGAGAAAGTAAAAGTTGAAAAGTCTTTTGGTAGGTAGAGAGGGGGTAAACGTCAAACCACGTCGGGCGGCTCCGAGAATTTCACAGTAATGTTTACCTGCCAGTGTCGTTTCATAGAATAAGTAATTTTAAATTGTTATCGGCGGAACCGGACGATCGCATGTATTTATGGATTATAAATATTTATTAAACATGTATTATAATATTCAAATTATAATTTTACAAAATTTCAACAGCTATTCACAATTTATTAAACTATTTACTCGAAATTGTTATTAACATCTATAAAATAATTTTGTACGCCAATGTATCGCGTCCACTTCGGTAAGATTCGCTGCCAACCTGTCAATTTATGTGTATAAAGTGGGAGAACTGGCAAAAGCATTTCCAACTTTTACTTCTGTTCTAACGAAATTTTGTTTTTAAAAAGTAGTTTTATAAGAATATTTACTAAAGGTGGTTTTTAGCTCTTTTTGGTAGATAAATAAGAAGTAAAGAAGCATAGTTGATTAGTAGTATTTTTATAAGAATATTAGATAAAATACAGGATGAATAACTTAAAATTTCAAGATAATGTAATAATCGATTTTAAAGGAAATACAAAAAGAAAGTAGATTTATTCAAAATTATCGACTAATTGAAAATAATCGATTTTTTTGGAAAAATAGATTTATCGTTTAATCGGGGTTTTAATTATTTTAATTAATCGATTATTTTCGATTAATCGATTATTTTCAAATTTTCAAAGGTATTATATGAAAATAATTGATTGATTGATCGAATATAATTCGTTATTTTATATAACCAATATTTCGGTTATTTTTTAGAAATATCGATTTATCAGTTAATCAGTTTTTTAATATTTATTAATTTTTTTCGATTTATTGATTTTTATCGATTATTTTAGATTTTTTAAAGATAATAGAATAATCAATTTTAAAGGAAATATGAAAAGGATTATTAGAAAATAATCGATAATTCGGTTATTTTTTTGAAAAATAGATTTATCGTAGAATCTGCTTCTTAATTAATCGATTATTTTCGGTATTTCAATGATAATCGAATTATCGATTTTAAATGAAATACAATAAAAATAAATTATTGATAATCGATTGATCGAAAATAATCGATTATTTAAAATAATCGACAATTCGGTTCTTTTAAAAATCGATTTATCAGTTAATCGACTTTTTAATTAATCGATTATTTTCGATTTTTCAAAGATTATCAAATAATCTGTTTCAATGGACGAAAAAAATGGTATATTTGAAAATAAACGATTATTTAAAATAAACGATAATTTTTTGTAAATACTGATTTATGGTTAATTGGCTTTTTAATTAATCGATTATTTTTGATTTTTCAAAGATAATCAGGTAGTCTATTTTAAAGGAAATACGAAAAACAAATGATTGAAAACAATGGATTGATCGAAAATAATCGATTATTTTCAATGATCGATTAATTATTTATTTCGACAATCACTCATTCTCCATATTAACTAATATTCCTAAAGAAAGAAGCTTACAATACAAAACAGAATTTTCTCATTTTGACTAATTTTTAATATTATGTAATAGCCGTAGAAAAAATATAATGTTTGACTCAAAAGGTTTGATTTGCAGTATTCGCCTGCGCACATGCTTTTTTATAATGCTCGTAGACAATGAGTACCATTTCTTGCTCTATTAACAATATTCTATTTAAATATTTTACTGTAGTATCTTGCTGAAAAGTCCGTAGTAAATAAACGCTAACGAAATATTCTATAAAAGGTCGTGCATCTGTTTGATATTAAAAAATCACGTTAATTTTATTTCATAATACAAAATTCCATTAAACATATATTTTAAATAAATCTAATAGTTCATTATGATGCTAATAAACAAAGTCCGGTCCTTGTCACAGAGTTCGGGTTTCTGCCCAGTTCCCTCACTCCGTTAACCTTTCTTTAGAAATTGGCAACATTTGCGCAGGTTAAACACCGGTGTATGTTATATCTCTGGTCTCTTTTATCCAAGGACGACCGGGATGTGCCTTACATGGCAAATGTTGTAGATCCACAACTTTGACAACCCAACACCGCCTTTCATCTACTTCTCAAATCGTCCCGTTTTATTGGCTCGCCCTGTATAAAGTGCCAGAAAGACTAGTATCCGGACGCTTTGGATTGTCAATTAATGACATGTTTAAGGACCATGGAAAATTTGGTGTATCCTATCGAATAGAAAGAGGGACCTTAAATACTGGTGACATGGTGACTAATATAGTTCTAGAGCCAACGTGAAGATATTTAACTTATTTTCTCATAGCTGAACAATCTGTGGCTGAACTTATTAAAGTGTTCTATGATACGTGTCCGAAACACTGATCTGTATTACAGATCAGTGGTCCGAAATCACGAAAACGCGAGGTTCAGACCGGGGCACTTAGGTAGATATAGGCATTACAAGTGGTACATGGCTCTCAAAAACTTACTTATTTTGTTAACATTTTCGTTATGCTCATTTGACGATAAGTGCCCACCTACAAAAAATATTAAACCCTCCATCAATTCTGCTGGGCCAACGTTTTAAAGTAGTGTGTTAGTGGGCATTGGAGTGACCTATTTTCATTGACTGATTTTTGGTTTATTTTTAAGTTTTTGTTGTTTGACAAAATTCGCTTTATTACCGTGAATGGGCGTACGAGTGACTTATTTTCTTATATCTAAATTACGTGTCCAACGATTTCACGAAAGCGCGAAGTTAAGACTGGGGCGCTTAGGTAGTTATAGATGAATAGGTTAGGCCTAAAATGCCGGTATGTCGCGGTACCTATTTAAGATTTTGAAGCTTCGCCAATCAGGGGCCTATTTCATAAAACTACTTTGCAGCTTTTCACTTTGCATATTTTCGTAAATTTATGTTTAATGAAAGGGAAATTTAACGAGTTAAAAAGTAAAATTTGAAAAGCAAATTAAAAAGTGAAAATAAAAAATTAATAATCTCCAAAGATAACGATATTTTTGTATAAAATACAAGAATTTTGCACTCGTAAATTTGTAAAGTGCAAAGTGAAAAGTTGCAAAGTAGTTTTATGAAATAGGCACCGGTCTTACCTTCGATTTTTGTTATCCAGGCTTCCTGAAGAAGACTCTTTTTCTTGGGCGTGCACGCAACGACTCGTAAAGGGTGTGGACCGTATTTAAGGGCTGGTATTTGA